TCTAGTTTCTTCAAACTAAAAGTTATGGACTCTAATTTAAACACATGAGTTGTAGTCATTTCATGGTCTTTTGTTTTTGTTAGACTACTCGACTCGAGTGATTCAAAACTTTGATAAACAAATGGGATTTTTAATCTCTCATTATTTGAACTATTTCGGCCTAAGTGGTTCCTTTTTCGATTCCATTTTGACATAATGTCACTCTGAAAATAAAACGTTTTAATCAAATTCATGTTCTTGCATAATCACCAGTAAATGCAGCGAACAAGACAAACGTTTTACGTGTTTGAATTAACTCCGAAAAATGGAACATTCTTCTGTCGACGGAAGCCAGAATTCACTTCGATTTCTTTTCTGTGTGGAAACGCCATTAAGATTTCATCGAAACCATGTCATATATCCAATAACCGTGGTTGCTTTTCTATCCATCACGGCATTTGTTGGTAATGTTTTCATCTTAATTGCTCTCAACAAGATATCTTCGATTCACCCGCCATCCAAACTTCTGTTCCGTTGCTTGGCTGTCACGGACATTCTCGTCGCTCTTGTTGCAGAGCCTCTTCATGCCGTTTACTTGTTTTCGATAAGAACAATGACAGAAGAAGGAAACATTGTCTGTTTATACGCAGCGACATTCTCGATCACCATCGCTACAACTTTGTGCGTTGTTTCGCTTTTCACATCAGCAGCCATCAGTTTGGATCGACTTATGGCTTTGGTGTTAGGACTCCGCTACAGACATGTTGTAACATTCAAACGAACCTTTTCAGTGGTGATTGGCTTATGGGCACTTGGCATCATCTTGACCGCTGTGTCCTTTTGGAGATTTACTCTCAGCAAAAGTACGATCTTCATCGCTTTAGCAGTATTGGTCTTTTGTGTCACAGTGTCTGGTGTCGGTTACACCAAGATAGTCCTTATACTTCGCAATCGTGAAACTCAAATTGCGAGTCATTCACAAGCAGCATTCTCACCAAACATTTCGCGTTTAAGAAAAGTTGTTTGTAGTGCACTATGGGTACAGGTGATTTTAGAAGTGTGCTACGTCCCTTTCCTGGTTGTTACCACGCTATTTATTTTTAATGAGAGTGGGAGAACTCATCAATCTCTGTTTATCGCCTGGGAATTTACGGGAATTTTGATTTTCTTAAGCTCGTCGCTTAATCCATTTCTTTATTGTTATAAAATCCCGGAGGTGAGACAAGCGGTAAGGCGCACAATTCGACAGGTGTTTCGTTTATCAAACGAGGCTGATGCAGTGATAAATTCTATCAGATAGTAAGAATCTTGGATTGGTAAACTGTATTCTGTCTAGCTTAGAAATGGATATTTATCTCGATGTAACAAAACCCACAACATTATTAAATCTACCAATGAAAAACACCTACACCAAAAACAATACTAATATACCTATTAGATATTTTGTTTTGCCACGTCCACGTTGCCGCCGCCCTTGTGGTTTGCTAATTTAGGTCCCTAACGTCTTGATGATGGGAGAAAGCAGGAAGCCCTCTTCAGTGCGATTAAGACCAGAAATCTCTTTGCAATTTTAATGAATTTAATATTGGGGCTTTTTAGTAACACTTGCAATGAAAACAAGCTTCTATTAAAGAAAGTTTAAATTTCAGCTAATTAGATGTAAAAGGAAAAAAATCAATATAAAACAAAAGGAGGATCACCTCTATTAAACTGGGATAAAATATGTTAGGTGGAAACGAAAATGAACCTTTTTAAAACGCCCTACGGTACATTACGTTTTCGTGGAAATCGATTTTTATCAGCTGAGTGATATTTGATTTTGGTAACTTTGACTTTATGTAATGTGCATTTTGTTCAAAATATACTTTCCAAAGTATAAATTTAGGATCGATGTTAGCTTTCTCTACTTCAGAATTGCCGATTTTGTTTATTTAAATTTTTTGCATAAATTTTTATTTAATTTTTTTTCTTCAGTTATAGCTTAACAAAAAAGATATTGCAATCTCTTGCTAGCAAACAATTATTTACTGCAGGAATGACAAATTTCGTTAGTATCAGTATCCCTAAGTAATACTACATCTTTCTTATAATAAGAATAATTACATAATTTTTTTTATCAATTTTATGTAGTTTTTCAGTTCATAGGAAAGAGTGTCAAAGGTTTTTTTTGTTGTTGTTAGTGTAATTATTGTTGTTATCACTGTTGTTGTGTTTTCGCATATTGGCCCTCAGTAACACATTTGCTCAGTTTGTAGTAGCGCCGAACAAGAATCTGGGAGGCAGAGCCACCAATCCCGTTCAAGCCCGAACAGTAATCTTCCACTCTCGTCTTCGGATGCAAATAGTATATGGTGATGTTATGACACCGTAAGCGTCGAAACAAAATTTTTACTTTCGAAAAAAGAAAAATGCTAACAATATTTTTTTTCAGCAGGTGCTTTATCAAACAAAAATATCTCTGACGTACTGTTATTAATCTAATTCTAATCACGTTTTCCGATGATTATGTTAGAGCTAAACGAGTTTCCCATTGCTTACACTTTTGGCCTCAAGGATATTGAGGATGAAACCCATTCGATTTAGAATTTTGAATTTATGCATGAACGCGGCAAGGCCATACAAACTCTGTTCCATTGATCATAAAAACCTTTTAACCTTTAATCATCAATTGCATTCTCTAAGGTCACTGATTCTTTCTTTCGCTGTCACGATGATGAACGCAACGAAATTAATATTCGCTACCAGTCTCCACGTCTCGGTTCAAAATAAGCGTTACAAAAACAACACCAACAACAACTGAGCATTGTTGCTGATCGAGTGGATTATATGAGAATTTAAAACAAGATTTTATAAAGTTCTCTTCATGTGCACCCGTTCGTTGCAGATGTTTATTAAAGTAGTGTATAAATACTCTGAACCTAAAGCTCCCTTTAAAAGGGAAATAACCGACTTACTATGCCCTTAACTGCTGCTCTTATCTCGTTAATCTTCCAACAGTAAAGAAAGGGGTTTAAAGATGAATTGAGATACACCAAAGTTACCGCTATTCCCGACGCGTAGAGCGCCGATGTTGGCGCTTTGGAGGAAACTAAGCCAATAGTTACGATGAACGGCAGGTAGCAAATAGTCAGTGTCAACTGAATCCAAAGCACACTAGAAATTGTTTTCTTGTACCGTTCATTATTCAAAGTCATGCTGTCTGTACAAAGAGTTCCGTGATTATTAACTCCCCCATTTGTTTGCACGCGTCGCTGATGTTGACGAATTTTCCAAATGATTTTGGCGTAGCAAAAAGAAGATATTGCAAGATTGCCAAAACACATTGCAGCTCCTACAAGCATCTCAGCTTTGTTGTAGTCCAACATCGGATATGAGGAAGACACAGACCCGATGGATACCACCCACAGAAATAAAAGAACAAGTGAAGTTCGTTTAAAGGTTACGACCTGTCTGTAACGTAAACCTAAGTTAAGAGCTAGAAGTCTGTCTATGCTTATCGCAGTTGAAGTTAATAATGACACCAAGCACAAAGTGTTTGTGGTGATTTGATCAAAGGTTGCTGAGTAAAAGCAAAGATCTTCTCGCCAATCTTGATGTTTAGTCAAAAGTGACACCATATATAGGATAAACAGAGGCTGTGAAATACAACCAATAAGCAGATCAGTTAAGGCCAAACATCGAAACAGAAGCTTCGAGGGCGGATGAAGCGCCGATTCTTTGTGAAGGGCATATAAGATCAACGTATTTCCCAGCGATGTAATAATGGACAGCAAAGCATTGATAACCAAAAAGACAATTATGCGAAATATTTGTAAATCATTAGAAGCAGCGATACAAACTTTAGCTCGAAGGCTGAGGGTATTTTCAATGCTGTTATTCTGAGCCATGTTTGAATCAGTTCTGTAGAACGTGATGCTCTAGAAAAACAGCTTCTTTGTATTTATATATACATTGACAGCAGGAGACAAATATACACTATTTGAATTAATGCGTGTTCATCTAAGATTGCTTTATCGATAAATGACAGAGAGCAGGCGCCAGGCTTCGAAACTAAACGACTTTATGATGAAGATAACAAAATCATTTTTTTAAAGGAATTGAATTAGCGAATTTCTGGGTAAAGACGTTTTGCACAAGTCACAGATGTAGCATGATTAGAGTTTAAGAGTGATTAAGCGACGTTTTCATTCGTTCTGGCGAAAACGTTGTTTGAACACTTTCTCAATCAGCTTTGAATAAGTAAATACGAATCTTAACTTATGAATTATCGGTAAAACCGAAAGAGAGGAACGAAAAAGAAAAGGAAAAATACAAACGAAACATATGCAATGATCGAGAATGACCTGAAATAAGGCCAAAGAAGAAGCAAAAACACTGAGAGTCATTGGATTCAAACGAAAAATACCCATAGCAAATAACGAGTGAAAATCGAGAGGATATATTGTCTCGATATTTTCTCTTGGTGAAATCGATTGAAAGGAGCAAATGTATTCAAGTCAGCAGTTTTAGCTTAACAGTTTAAAATGGAAGTCAAAAAATACACCGAAGCATTTTTAAGTTTTATTCCGAGTTAGGATTCTACTGACATTCCATTTGCCATTTTCAGTTGCTGTCTGTTTTGCCTATAACAAAGACAAATTGTTGCTATGGTTTGCATAATAGGTCACCACGATATCTAGATATGACGTCTGTTGGAAAGCTGCATGTCAAATTCTTTTTAAAGTAATTGCATTATTTTTCATTCATGTAGAACAGTAAAGTAGGTGCAGAAAATGACTTGTTCCGTGAAATCAATACTAAATCTCGTTTCTCTTTTCGCGTGATTTTTGTTGATTTATTTATTTTACTTTTGTTTTGGTTTGGTTTGATTTATGTTTATGTTTGTTTGTTTGCTTTTCGTTTTAGTTTATGTTGTAAAGAAGAAAGAAAGAAAGAAAAAACCGAACTACATCGTAATTGTTAGTCGAGAGCCAGCTGTATTCTCTTTGGAGTCTATGATCGACAGATTAGCCCATAGCTTGTCACCACGATCTGTGCGAACCAACGTTTAAATGGTCTTTCTTTGCCCCCCAATCAGTTTTCCGTTTCCAGTTATTGGCCGGGTCTCTTTGCATTTTTTATGAATCTGATACTGGGGCCTTTTAGTAGCACTGTGTAGTTGCAATGAAAACAGGCTTCTAATTTGGAAGCTTTCAAGTTTGGCTGATTAGATTAAAAAAAAAAATTAACATAAAACAAAAGGAGGATCACCTCTGTTAAGCTGAAATGAAATATGTTGGATGGAAACGAAAAAGAAGCTTTTTAAAACGCCCTACGATACATTTCATTTTCGTTGAAATTGATTTTTTCTCAGCTGAGTGACATTTGATTCTTGCAACTTTAACTTCGTGTAATGTGCATTTCGTTTAAAATATGCGTGCCAAAGTATAAATTTCGCATCGATGCTAGCTTTTTATACATCAGAATTTCCATTTTTTGTTTAATTTAGATTTAACTTTTTCATAAATTGTCATTTAATTTTTGTCGTTTATTGCCAAACAAAAAAGAGAGAACAATCTCGTGCTAACAAACAAATATTAAATCTTTCTCATAAGTAGAATAATAACATAAATTTTATAAAATCTATTTATGTAGTTGTTTAGCTCATAGGAAAGAGTCTCAAAGGTTTTTTTGTTGTTGTTAGTGTAATTATTTTTGTTATTACTGTCGTTGTGTTTTCGCATATTGGCCCTCAGTAGCGTATTTGCTCAGTTTGTAGTAGCGCCGAACAAGAATCTGGGAGGTAGGGCCACCGATCCTGTTCAAGCCTGAATCATTTCAGTCTCCTTTATCAAGTAAAATGTGTTGAAAAAACTTCCACTCTCGTCTTCGGATGCAAGCAATAGATGGTGAAGTTATCACACCGTAAGCGTTACAACAAAATTATTACTTTCGAAAAAGAAAATGCAAAACAATATATTTTTTCAGCCGGCGCTTTATCAAACAAAAATATTATTAACGCACTGTTATTAATCTAATTCTAATCACGTTTACCGATGATGATGTCAGAGCTAAACGAGTTTCGCATGGCTTACACATTCGGCCTCAAGGATATTAACGATGTAACCCGTTCAAACTAGAATTTAAAATTACGCGTGAACACGGCAAGGCCATACAAACTCTTTCCCATTGATCATAAAAACCTTTTAACCTTAAATCATCAATTACAATCTCTATGGTCATTGATTCTTTCGTTTGCTGTCACGATAATGAACGCAACGAAATTAATATTCCCTACCAGTCTCCACGTCTCGGTTCAAA